CACCAGTACAGCACACCACCGATGAATTGGCATGGTGCCTGAATCACATCAAAGCTTCAGGCTACATGTATTCGAAGTCCTCATGCTGAAATCGCTTGCAGATTTCGTGCGCGAAGCCAGCGCGTGGCCTATCCAGCAAGACTTCGTGAAAAGAACATCAATTTCACTCTCGCGAGTGTGTCGCCTGGTTTACAAGTCAAAGTAGGTGCAGAGTTTATATAAATTGGTAATCGACTTGGCGCGCCGCAACTTGTGTTGTCGCCGTTAAAAACGAGTGAATGCGTCTGCTTTCTCACTTAGGCTTCACGAGTGACATGAAATCGTGTTTTTTTCCGGAGATCCCAAAATTTGTACTTTTCCGTGCTGTGTGGACACCCAATCCACCGCTGAGGCCACATCCAGTGACAAATCACTCGTATCGAGTCGCCGAAGCGCAAATCAAGTCGTTTTTAACCTTGGTAATTATTCGCGCCGAATCCTACTTTCTGCCTTCGAAGATTTGCAGGTTTGGCTCACCTTTCGTCTTTCACCGGTTTGCCAAAGGTTCTGGTTTCTCGAGGCAGTAAGCCCGCACATTCGGTACTGTATCCGCGACGGGTGTTATGCCATCGATTTCGAGCAGCACTTGTTCTTTGACTGCACGCTCCCATCGCAGCTCTGGTGGCAGGAGCTCGAGCTGGTATCTCCACTCTTCGATGAGCGTCCAACATGGCTCGACATCGCTGATTAAAAAGATGTGAGTACGCGACGGCTGAAAAGCTTGCGATTGCACATTTTCCGCGCGGGACAGCTCACTTTCATTCGTCCGATCAATTGGTGTCTATTCGGCGGATGACAATCCAGACCGGCGCTCACAGCGATCCAGGTGATCCTCACGATATTTCCGCACACATTCGGAATCTCCAACGACACCTACTCGCGGAAGACGCAACTGAACGTGTGTCTACATTGTTACAAAAGCTAAAGACTCACCCGGCCTTCGGTGAGTTTGTCAAACGCTTCCCAGGTAACATTAATGTGCCGAAACCAGCATATGGTTATATTGCCTCAGAATTGCACTGCGGTAAACAAATCATATCAAAATAGACAGGTTATTGGACGTTGGTCTTTCAGCCACGCGTCACTTCCGAATTTTCCGGCTCTTGTCCCAGCAATCTAAGATGCACCCCCGTCCTGAGTCACCCCCGCCACCCTGAAATCTGACTCTACACTGCGAACTGTATTGTCTCTGGCTGCACCCGAAAATGATTCGGGGGGCATGAGCCCATAGCAGAGCTAGACTGGTGCTCCGGTTAAAAATAGTGAGGGATATGTGATGGTGTCTGGTGGATGCGGAGCGACGCACCCAGAACGGACCAGTTCAACTGTCGCAGAAGACGCATCCACAACATGCACTTGGCTAGCTAGCGACAAAGATATCTTGAAGCTTCTAAAGTGTGTCCCATTTGACCACTCGCATGCAATAGAGTGATTGAGCGAGGATACGAAGAATCGAGTGAGTGAAATTACGCAGAAATGAGTGAGTGGGGACACGAAACGACAGAATGTAGTTACGAAACGAGTGAGTGAACTTTCATCCGGAAGATGTTGGATATGATGAGTGTGCAAGGCAGCTGACTTATTGCTGGGCAAGCCTTCTGGATGAGTTTTGAGAGTTTCCACGCAGAATTTGCTTTAAGTATTGGACTTTATCCATTGAGCTTCTACATAAAATCTGGCTCACTATTTTGGAGTGGTGGCTCCATTCGTTGATTGAGGGTTCGAGTCCCACAACGGTCAAAATTAGGAAGTGGTGACTTCGTGTTTGGGGTTTACCAAAGCTCCTCATCAAGAATCACGCCCCACGATCGATCTTTAGATCTATGGATGATTTTATAGGTGCTGTATCCAAACCTTCTACTATTCCTTATATCATTTGATTGTGTTGCTGCTGTATATGTATATTATTAGCGGGGTACGATTGAGAAGTCATCACATCTATAATCTATAACAAAGACAAACTTTCGGCGTATTGTTGGCGTGCGCACAAGGTAAACAATCGCATTGTGACAGATAAGAACAACTGGTGCCGATTTGCGTGGTTGAAGTAGTAATTTGCTTGGATCCCAAAGAGACGGTCACCCTAAGAGACAGACTGTGGAACAAATTTGTCGTTAATTTATCGATTGCATATACAGTCACAACAGCGTTTTAATCAGCGAAGACCAAAGATGCATAGATGCTAATTTACGCATCTCATGGGCTACTTCAAGCGGCGATTTTGCTGCCGTATACACGTAAAGCAAAATTGATGGTAGCGGAGAGTACAAAACGTTAATTTGTTCTTAAAGGATGCATAGGTGAGTCAATGGATTCTGTAATCAGACAAGCAACGAAAAACGAGAGGGATACATCGCGCGATGATGATCGCGGAGCGAAGCAAAATATTTGAATGAGGATTATCAATTGATTTCTGGTGAAACGCGGCGAAATTTGCGATTTACATACCAAATCAGAGCCCCGAGAAAGCGAATCTAAAGAGCAAGTCACCATTGCAGTTACTCACGGGTATATAACGGACTTGGCGCACGTAGATGCCGAAACAGGTCGCTAGGTGAAAGAGATAAGTTCGGATAGATCGTCAAGACACGAATGAAGTCGAATGTTCTGTTTGCCAAAAGTAGTAATCCGTTCGGTGAGAAACATTTTGAAGTTGGCAAAAAATGCAAAGCAAGCAGCTGAAGTTGGCATACCTTCGCGGTTAGTAGATAATACGACTGCTAGATAGAACCTCTTCAAGGCCAAGGACAAATGCACGATAAAAGGACGAGATAGGAAATCTCAGCAAAAAGGGATGTATATCGGACTTACGGGACGCCATTACAGGACACCATTACAAACGTAGTAACTAGTGTAACGCGGTTACACGTACTCTTGTATGAAAGGGCGGATCGCCCAGGATGGCGTGACCGTACATATGTGTGATTTACACAAGTAGGTGTTATTACACAGTGGTGTGGCTACACCGTAACAAGAAGCCACTATGTGGCAAGAATACCAATTGTAATGCATATTAATTAGATTTAATATATTAATTAGGAGAACCTAAAATTTTAGATTCTGGCGGCTCTGCCGCATCTAAAACAATTTAATTTTGAACGGAAGAGTTTTTCTACCTTGATTGAGTCTTAATTTCTCTTGGAGGGCAGCGGATTGCGATCCGCTACACTCGTACTGGTTCTAAGTATTGAACGCAAGGTCGGTGACCTTAGAATAGCTTTATTTAAACAAAGAGCTACGGAAGCCCCGCTGCAAATAGCTTTTGGACACCTACACGACTAAATATAGGGAAATAGTGACTGACAAGTAGGCTGGTGAGATGTAAATAATTTGTCGCAGTGTTAGAAGTTAAAATTGGCTTGTGGTGATCCAAGACGGCTTAGATGGCGCATTAGGTGGCATGCAGAATTGAAGAAGTAGTTTGTCCTAGTTTTAGTTGAGACCTTTTTGATCGCATGAAACTTGAGGTATTTTTTGTTTTGTCGGGAGGGGATGTGCGCTGACGAGAATCAGCGACGTTTTAACTGCCTACGTCAAGGGAGCACATCTAACGTACTTGCGTGCCTCGCAAAGTATGGGCATTGGTGACACTGGGTATAAAAAAGACAGCTGGTAGTGAGGCTAAAGACGGTGCCGAATAAATAACTCCTGGCAGAAAGGCTGAAAAGCAAGTTTCCGCACTTCAAAGGTACGAAGTTTAGACTTACAGGATGCTAAACAGACGTGTATTTGCACTTATCGCGTCACGGGAAATTCACGACTAATGTGGGCGTTGGTATGAATGAGCTGCTTGTTTCTCCATCAAAGATTGATTTGATGGACACCCTCTTCCATATATGATGAAGATATAGCTGATTTAGAACTAACGGTGGGAATGGAACGTTCTAGATATGTGTATTGCTTTGAATGAGAACGTGGGTGATACAAGGAATATCTTGAACGCGGTAAGATAGCCATTTCGATAATAAGCGATGGGGGGGATTAATGCATGGATTTACCAAGTAGAATAAATGGTTCATGGGAACCGATAGTAAAAAGTCTAAGTCCTCGATGAGTATTCCACTTTGAATTGCTTGTTTCAATCACTGGGCATCATCAATGCGTTGCGTAAGGCAGCTCGGAAGACCCATCTGCCTGCAAAAGACGACTGATAACTAGCGATGATTTTTAAAACCCGAAGGTAAATAATAACATGCCAAGGAGAAAGGCAGGGATGTGAAATTCATAACACTGGAATAATACAGAGTCCGCAGCAAAAAAGGCGACGTTTAATCAGTCGCGGAAGAAACTAAATCTGTGGATGGTGTAGTTGTACAGTGGATGTGCAAGTGTCGCTGTCTTCTGAAATTATCAAGTTTACTTTGTTCTGAATGCTAAACGTCTGCTACTTGGGCCGTGTCCCGGGGTTAAAAGTACCCTGGTATGAAGGGGTGGGTCTCACAAGATGGTGTCACCACACAATGGTGTGGATTTACCTTTACCAGAAGTCAGTAAGTGGCGGGACTGCCAGTACTTATGCATTTAAATTAGTTTTTTCAACTTCATTAGAAAAACCTATAGATTTAGATAATGACGGCTCTGTCGCAACTTAACAGTTCAATACAGTTTCAATTTTGAACGGAAGAATCTCTTTACCTTGGTTAAAGTTTGAGTAATCTTGGAGGCAGCGGATTACGATCCGCTACACTCGTACTGGTTCTTGTAAAGAACGTAAAGTGGGTGATCTGAGCTTAGTTTCCTCTAAGCAAAGAGCTGCAGCAGCCCCGCAGCAGGCCGAGTGAGCTAGACCTAGAGCTAAATATTTATGTAGTGAGGCAGATGAAAAAGCTGATAGACAACAGTGCTGTGAGAGTGGATCATCTCGTGCGCTTATCTTGTGATAACAACATACAACTTGAGTTTTGACCGCGCACGAAAGGAAGACATCTAGCCTAGTACATGCCATGATAGCATACCTACTGATGAAGGCGCTACCGGCAACAAGTTTGGGCGATTTGCGGAAAACGGTTGGAAAGGCGACGATAGCGAAATTTTCAAGGATAGGTATGACAGAGACCGGTGAGATTCCCATAAAAGATCACCAACGCGTGAGCGAGGAGTGTGGACCAGATGGCGAGTATTGGAAGGTAGCGGATCGACAGAAACGATCAATTCGCCGCGAGCCAACAGGATAAGGGTCGACGGAACAAGAATCGACACGTGGACGAGAATCGGAAAAGACAAATTTCAATAGATCAAGGTCGCAAGGAATCGCCAGAGCGCGAAGAGTAAAAATAACAAGCTCATCCCGGACGGCTTATTGCCCGCAAACCCTAGTTTACAAACGGCACCAGCAAATGGGTAGATGAATACGCAGGAATTAAGGGCTGAAGGGGCTGGCGTAACTAGTAACATTAGCTACCCAGTATCGCAGCTAATAACATTGTATTTCAATACATGTATTTTCCTTTCTTTTCACATTTCTACGTTATACTTCGAGAAGAAGGACTCGCACAGAAACTTGTTATCGGTTCTGCACCTTAACTCTTACTACTCTATTACCAAAAATCTACTGTCCGCTACCGGTATGATTAACAACACTGATAATTTTTATTATGGTAAGGCAGACAGAAGGTCGCAGTACGAAAGGAGGTCGATGAGAATAAGCCTTTTTCTATTGTCATAGGACGCGTCGAACTCTCGGAAAGGTGCAGGCGTTTCTAATGTTGTGCGTCAGACATGGGACCGCGCACATTATGAGAAACTTGCCCAGTTACGTGCCGAGGGAGGAGTGGAGAAGGAGACGGTATGTCTGACGAGGTTTTGTCAATAATTTGTGAACTAAATGGCTCGTTTGGGTATGTCATAGACAAAGAAGGTGATTCATTCATCAAAAGAAGAGTTTCAGACAGCTGATGAAAGTGCTGCGGGGCCTGCTGGCTCAGCGCGCGCCTTTTTGAAGGCACGCACGGCGAAAATGTCATTAGAGACTAGTGTGGGCACTGTGAAAGTCGTCAAGTCCGATGAGTTGAGCAAAAACAGTGGCTACTATTGCGAAGTCTGTGAATGCAGTTTGAAAGATTCAGTTGCGTATTTAGACCATATAAACGGCAAAAAGCGTGAGGAAAGCATTATCTCTAGATTTTGAGATGGTGTTTGAAGAATTCTGGTATCTTTTTAATCGTAGATCTTCGAAAACTCGGCTATAGCATGCGAGTAGAGCGGTCTACAGTTGATCAAGTGAAAGATCGACTACAAAGTGCAGCTAAGCGCAAGTGGGATCCTTTGATGACTAAGAAATTAGATGCGATGGAAGGTATCATGCTTATTGAGTGTGTGGCTATCTCTGAGCTTGCTAGCTTAAAATAATTTGTATTTGTGTTTACAGAGTATGAAAAGAAATTAAAGGCAGCTGAGGAAGCTGAGATTTGTCTTAAGCGGCAGAAAAAAGAGCAAAGGAAGGCCAAGAAGTGTGAAAGTGAGGATCTAAGTCAAGACCGAGTTACTGCAGAGGAAACAGTGGATGTAGTTTCTGAATCAGATGCTGAAATGATGGCCATGATGGGTTTCGGTGGCTTTGGCGGTTCAAAGAAATCCTAACAAATAGAAAAGATTAAATTCACCAATTTTCTTGTAATTTTTACAATAGCCGCATTTTTGTCATTTATTAAAATTACAAGCTAAAAGAGCGCAGATGTCGGGCCGCATCCCTCAATTTAGCCACCCTGAGGGTTTCCATGGACGGCGACGTAGCCCACACACTGCTCATCAAGATCATCCGCCTAGTTCTACGCTTCTGCTGCGTGGTCTAGCACGTTCTATCAACGATGAAATGGTATAATCATTGGACTGGTTGACACCCCATACATAGAATTTTATACTGAGAATATAGAACAACAAGGTTCAAGAGACTTAAATTAAAGTCACCAGATCACTGACCACCGCTTCGTCATCCTCGCTCAGATTCTTGACGCATTACAATCTTTTGGACCAGTGCAAGCTCGTGTCATATACGACAAAGTACCGATTTATTGACTTTAAAATCTGTTTGCTGTCTAACACTTAAATCGCGTTGTTTTGTTCTATTAGGCCACTGGCGACTCTCGTGGATTTGCCTTTGTGGATTTTGACTCGGTGGAAAGTGCTACACAAGCTATGAAGACGTTTGGTACAGTATAAAGGTTGAAATTGAGTGTTATATGGGAAGGTAACTGTCGATGCACTTGCAGAATCAACACCGTTAATACTGCAGCATCGAAATATACATGTCAGTTATAGCGATGGTTACCGTCGACGCTCGGATGAATCTGATCGTCTTCGAGGGCCCAATTGGCATCACGATGATCAACGAATGGGAGAGCGCTGGCAACCACGTACAGACTGGTTTTGTGATAATGTTAGTTGATGAAATTTTGTTAAGAATGAAGATGTAATTTTATCGGTTCTGGTAGTGCAATGTGACGAATTTTGCGAGACGAACGGTTTGTTTTCAGTGCAGTACACCCAAGCCGCATCTTGAGATACCAGGAACAGCAATACGCCAACCGAATATAAACTGGACCAATTCTTACGATCAAAATGCTGAGAGTACTAGCTTCTCCGTACCTCGTGCTCCATTGAATGACAGCGAAATGGGTACACGCAGACGTTTCGAGAACTCTCGCCATGTTGTGCCATCGCAAGTGCTTGTGGTGCGGATGCTCCCACCTGATATCGAAGAAGGCGAGGTGAGATTGATAATAATTGTTATTGTGTTGTAAGACTGGCCAAAAGTAATTTTTCTCGATGCAGCTTCATGTGGCCTTTGCTGAATTTGACGGGGTTGAAGATATTCGTTTGATTCGAGATCGGGTGACCAATTTATCGCGAGGATTTGGCTTTGTTGAGTTTCGAGATATCCAAGTACAACCATTTTTATTGTTCTGACGTATAGACATTGTACTGACATGGACTGCGATGCTGGGGCTATTTGGCTCTAGGCTGCGACAAATGCTTTGCAACAATGTAATAATTTAGTTGTGCAAAATACTCACGTCGAGGTGTCGTATGCACGGGATACTCTGTCCACTAGGTCGCAATACGTGGCAGAACTGAGTGCGGGACCACGCACTGGTAGCTCCATGGTCGTCACGGCGCTGGAACAAGCACAATGGTCGCTCTTGCAGGGACGTGGAGTCGACGTGGCTACTACTGATCAGGTGAACAATTATTGCAATTATTGTGTTTGCAATGCAAACATATTGGAAAATTGGCATCACCATTCTAATGTCCAAGAATCGTGCTTTGCTACATAAATGTATCGATACGTTGGCGTTGTGCTGATTCGTTTACAGCAAAACAGCGTCGTGGATGATGTCAGTGCGCTTTTGGATCAGGCTGCAGCCGCAGTTGCTCCTCACTTTCAAGAACCGAAGAAGATGTGGCCACTTCCATTCGAGACAGCAGGCGGCAGCTATGTCTACGTCAGTGAGTATGGTCTTTACTGGGATCCAGACAGCTTATTCTATCACGATGCTCAAACTACGATGTATCATAATTCATTTACTGGTACATACTACCGGTGCATCAACTCTCATGGTAGTGGGGCATCGGCTTTCAAAGAGTTTACGCCGCCTGTTCCTGTTGACGATGAAGCTTTTCACGAAACGATCGCGACGAAGGAAACTACTAGCACTAAACCAGTCTTGAATTTATCTTTAAAAAAAGAGAAGAAGAAGGCGGGAGGACTTTCTTTTGCTATTAAGACGACTGCATTCTCGACTGCTTCGGCGACGGAAGGAATAAGTCAGGTAAAGACAGTGGAAAGCAGTACAAATCTTGTTTCTTCGAATGCTAGTAGCGTGGCTGTCGGGATGAAACGCAAAAGTTTAAACGATATTGCCAAGTGGTCGCAACGGAAACAAAACGAGGCTGGTTATTTAAACACCGTGCCACCGCAGCCTCCTAGCAATTCGGTTGAAATAGCTCACATTGAGCAGAAGACAGCAATTACGGCTAAGCCGAATGCTGTGGACTCTGTCATTGACGCGCTTACGAATGTTCCTCAAGAAGTTCCCATTTGTCTGGTAAGTCAAACGTGACGAAGTTTATGCACGTTTGCTGACAATGCGTTTGTAATATTTAGCTATGCCGGCGGAAGTTTGGGTCTTTGGAAATGCTTCGCAAACACGAGAAATTGTCAAAACTGCACTTGACAAACTTAGCGAAAGCAAATGAAAACAAGCAAATTGTTGCAGCTCAGTACCGAGAGCACGAAAAAGAGATGGAACGAGGTGCAAAGAAGCAGCGGCTAGCAGAAGCTCAATCCATGACAGCTAGCAATGAAAGCTGGACTGCAACTTCTACCAGTGAAAAGCCTGCTGCACCTTCACTTGAGTCAGGATTTGGGGGCAAAATGCTCAAGATGATGGGTTGGAAGAGTGGAGAAGGGCTTGGCAAAAACGGTACGGGCAGAACGGCACCGATTGAGGCTATTGGGCAAGGAGGTCGAAGTGAGACAGCAGGACTTGGCTTAAAAGCTCCATTAGCAGCTACGATCGACCTCACGGACGTGACATCCGAAAAAGATCGTCGACAAAGACTCGTTCGGGCTCGTTATGATGCTGATACCGCATAAAGCTAGTTCGAATTCATTCCAAATTTTATACTTGCTGCTCGTCATCCGAGATGATCTGTGCTAAATGCAAAACTACATTAATCTGTGAGCAAATCTTCACTTTAAAGCAGCGACTGGACCGCCTTTTTCAACAGCGACTTCTTATAGCCCGTGATCTTTTCATGGACTTCTTTGCCGCCCTTATAAAAGCGAAACTCGGGGTACACTCCGACTTCAAGTTCATCCTTCAGCTTTTCAATCTCTGGAATCGACACGTCTAGTTTAGCAAATGTCACTTCTGGATGAGTCTTGGCCAGATCAGCAACGAATGGGGCAATTTGTGCACATTTACCGCACCACGGGGCCATAAAATCCACCACGACAGGCTTGCCGCTCTTGATCAACGCATTAAACTGATTCTTGTCTTTAATTCGCGTCAATGCTTCAGCATCGTCATCGTCTTCGTCATCATCTTCATCGTCTTTAACAGTCGAAAAGTACTCATGACTGTGTGTTGGTGTAGCTTTGATTGTCTTAGCACCAGGTTGCCAATTCGCTGGACAAACTTCGCCATGTTCTTCAACAAACTGCAAAGCTTGAATGAGACGCAAGGTCTCGTCCACACTTCGACCAATGGGCATATTGTTAATAGTAATCTGTTGAAGCACACCTTCTTTGTCCATAATAAAGAGACCACGTAGAGCCACACCAGCTTGCTCAACAAGGACACCGTACTTTGCCGAGATTACCTTAGTGATATCGGAGACAATGGGAATCTCCATCGTACCCAGCCCGCCCTTATTGCGTGGTAGACGTGTCCAAGCCAAATGACTTTCAGGAGAGTCACACGAAACAGCAATAAGCTGCGTATTGAGTGCTTGAAAGTCTTTAGCGCGGTCATTAAAAGCAATGATCTCAGTAGGACACACGTACGTAAAGTCTTTTGGATAGAAAAACAAGACCACATACTGACCGCGGTACGTGTCTAGTGACAAGTCCGTAATATCACCATTGACGACAGCTGGAGCAGTAAATTGTGGTGCTCGATGTTGTACACGAGCAGCAACGGATGGATACTGCACATACGAGTCTTCTTCCTCATCTTCAAGGAAGAAATCGTCGTTATCTGTAGCAAATGTCCGAAATGGTTGTTGAGTGGCGATTAGCGAGTTGCTTAAGAATGGAGCAAAAGAAGTAGCAGTGCGAGGAACCAGACGAAAAGTTGAGGGCAGTGCACGAGCGGCCGCGAGACGACGAGCGATTTGAAGGACACGCATTAGATAGCGAAGATTTTCGAGAATAAAGAAGGTTTAGAGCCTATCAATTTGATCTTAAGGCGAGTATACAAACGAATTGACAGTTTAAACAAGTTTGACGGGGTTCTAGATTGTGTTGTTGATACTATTTTTGTTATTATCGATACAAATCTAAGGGACAATTTGTACGTCGCGCAACAAACACGCAGACCCGTGATAGTTTATTTCATGTCTTCAAGCAGGTTTAATAATTTATAATTTGTCAGCTGGAAAATATAGTATTTTGTCAAATAATTGTAATTCAGTAGAGAAATGGCCCGTCAAGCCTCACGTTTCGCATGACTTAGAGTCGCAAGTCTTTACACACATTAGCTCAGCTGCACTTTATAGGGTTCCCGACATGTCAACACATTGAGGTGGAGGTATCATCACTTGTATTAAACCTTTCTAATCCAATATTTGGCTGGGAAACATGATCAATGTTCACAAATTGATTCTTTTTCGAGGTCTAAAGTGACACAACTTTTATGA